ATCAATCATTTCCCACTTGCCCATCAATTCTAATGCTTGTTTTGCTTCCTGGATAAAAATAGCATCAGACAATGAGAATTTCTACCAGTGTTTTTTTAGCAATAAGAATTGGAAAAAAGAAAAACATATACATATAATAAGTCAATAAATCAAGAAACAAAAAATAAAATATCAATTAACAAAAACAAAAGCACTGTGTTACATCAAAAGCAGCCACTACAGAGGCTATGTAGATTTAATTACTTTTTAATGGTATCACTAAGTCATTCTAGATCTATGTTCTATTACATGCAACATTAGATAACGAGGGATCAATTACATGTTCAGTGAATAGAAAAAAAAAAAAACAGTTTACATATTTGAATAGAAACAATGGCATCAGACCCCAAAAATCTGTCACACAATGACTTAAATTCATTTTTATATGTAAGAAAATGGCCATACTTAGCCCACTATAGTTTTTTCAATCTTCACTTGCAGAAGAGAATTTTGTGCTAGATACCTCTTGGAAATAGATTTAACTCTAAAGCAGAGATGCAGTAAGATTTTCAATTGATTTGTAATAAATCAGCAAGCACACGATCAATTTCACTAAATATAAAATTCTTCATCTTATTTTTCCCCCTGAGGAAAAATTAATGCAGTAAGGGAAAGCTACAATTTAAGGTTTTGGTAAAGTGTCATGACTAATGAGAAGACCTCCTTACATTTAAGTATCATTCCTATAACATACCCAAAATCATGCATCATAATACCTATTACTAATTTCCAAGATAATAATGGAAAACCTGAACATCGCTCCATTCAACACAGCGCAGGAACTTTGTAAGAGCCCTCTTTTCAGACATTAAAGAGAACCGGAATTTCCACAAGAGCTGCCTTTCATCTCCACTCAAAGTCCTTGTTGGTGGATATTTTAGTATTCTCTGTATGGACCTTAACATAAAGAAGCATACAAAATGGTTAAACAACCATTTATATTTTAAAATTATCAAGTACAGTACAATACTATAGAGAGAAGAAAACATCGTTCATTAACATAAGAAAGAGAAAACCAATTAGAAAAATAAAAGAAAAAGAAAAAGGTTTTAAGCTAACCAATCCCAATATTTTATTAAACTTACATTTTGATAGTTTATTAAATTCTCATTTATCCCACATAATATGGTCTAAATCCATTCAAAAAGTAACAACCATGTGATCCTGGAAGTAAACACACTACTTAAATTCTTTCATGTTAATAAATTTTCCTTTACAACCGCAAAATTGTAAAAAGATAAATAATGCCATATTTACATTTGTTTTACTGAGATTTATTTATTTTTAAATAAAAATCCTGGTTAAATCTGAAATCATTTAGTTTAGAACCACCTGCCATTAAAATGTGGTAATCTAAGTATGGTGATTGTCATTGTTATTCTTGCATGACAAAATTTGACACATTGTCGTGTATTTTGAAGTGTCACACCATGTCTGATATGAACTTATCCCCTTTCTGAGTGTCCACTCTTCATAGGTGGAAATAAAACTTCATTAACATGTTATCTGGTTTGCTTCTTGGTTGATGATATATGTGACAGAATAAATTAACCATTTCAAGAATGGCATTGATGACATAATTCGACACAAAAGTAAGCTTACTTTCTCTCATTTGAGCTTGGCTTCAGATCCCTGTCTATGACACCACGGGTCAAACTCCTGGCCAGCTTTAACTGTTTGTGCTCAGAGGGATTTATCTTTCCCACTTCCGGATCCCAGACAATAACAATATCATTGGTTGAAGCTATAGGGGATGGCAACAAAAAGTTTGCACCTGATTCCTACATTTTCTAACAAACAAGAATTAGTGCACATGCAGGATCTGTATCAGCTTTTATTATATTATGCAGGTTAGCATTACCTCAATAACCTAAATGGTCTATGCATGGAACGGTGATATTCTTATAAATATAGGTTGCTTGCAAACCCAAGACTACATTCTAGGGATCCCATGTAAATTTGAATTTACTTTAAATTGCTAAACTAAATACAAAAGTATTTAATGCAGGAGTATATCACATACTGGGAGGGGGTACCGGTACATCATGTTTACATTTTACTGAAAATGTTTTGTTTGTTCTTTGACCAAGTCCCCCACAGGCATTGTTGTAAGACTAATCCTTGGGCAATGTCCCAACAAGGAGGCAAGAATACCTGAAAAACAACTCGATGCTCAAAACTACAGAAGTCTACAACCAGGTACAGATGAGAACTTCCGTTTTTCAAGCTTTCACGCTCCTTAATTCTCTCCATAGTCTTAAATGTGAGGCGATCGAGCCAGTCCACCCGTTGAATTTGACCTCGTTCATACTTATTCACAAGCTTTTCCAACCGCTCCAATTCCCCACGTTCATGCCTAGGGACCTAATGAGAACAAACCAAAGTATGTTTATAAGGACTGAAAATCTTCCTAAAATTAAACAAAAAACCAAAAAAAAATGGCACCTATGGTCACTCAAAATGTTCATTACCTTTCCAGGTGTGCTAGTAGGGAATGTTCCATCTGCCTCTTTTCCTGCCCAAAGCCTAAGCTTTTGCTTCCCAGTTTTGAGCTGCTTTTTGCTGTTGAAGAGAAGAATTGTGGCTCCTCCAATCAATCCTTCACCATGCGAAAGATCCCAAACCTATTCAACAACAATATTACCAACATATGAAAACTTGCACTTCACAATTTTTTAAGTAAATTTTTGTAGAAGGCTAAAAGCTAATAAAATTCAGACATTATTATACAAAACATAACCAGATTTCAGTCCTTCCTACAATTGTAACAATTCATAGATGGACATAAAACAAGTTGTGTTCTCATTACTTGAAGGTAAATAAGCTTGGCAGCTAAAATTGCAACTTACAGTAAAGGTGAGTTGTGACTGAGCAGTTAAGTCTCGATATTTTGTTGTCAAAGTGATGAGTTCATTCCAACAATATGATGGTCCTGTGGACTCTAACCTTCACCAGATGATTTAAAAATACCAAATCCATAAATAAAATAAATGTGTAATATTAGTATAAACACATTGTTGAATGGGTAACAAATGAGCTATCAAGAGAAAACATCTCTTAATTAGGTTTGAATACCCTGTTGGTCCCTATAGATTCATGAACTATACCTTTTAGTCTCTATAATAAAAAAAATAATTTTTTTTTCAGCTCTTATACATACAGTTTTTGTTTCTTATTAGTCCCCATAGTTTTATAAGCATTTTAGTTCCTATAGCAACAGATGATAGAGACTAAAAAGAAACAAAAATAGTATAGAGACTAAAATAAAACATTTTTAACTATAGGAGCTTAAAGGAAAAGTATCCCCACTCAATAATATGAAAATATTTATTTTTAACACAACACCTACGAAGGTTGAATCACATGAGATGAAAATAAAAGTCATAAAAGAGGTAAATCAACAAAAGAAGTCTCATGCCATAATAATTATTTACTCAGTACATCAGTTGAAACTAGCCAGGTAATTATACGTATGTGAACCAAAGGTAATTAAACCAAAAAACAGTAACCTTGTTCTGGTGGGAAGGCCAAACGGTGCACCATCAATGTACAATGCACACTCCACAAACAACTCTGTCGATCTATTCTCCGCGGGGGCATTATTTTCTGTAAGCAAAAAGTTATTAAGCGATGAACGGTTTGAATTTCGCAAGAGAGAGAGAGAGAGAAATTAATTGGTGAATTAGAGAAGAGGGGAAAGAAACCTAAATTAGGGAATTTGGGAAGGGGCAAATTGCCTTCAAGGCGCTCGACGCGGAAGGTGACTGGGAGATTGATGTCGCAGGACAAGAAGAAGCGAAACTCGTTATCGGTCATGGGGACTTGTTTGTGCTGAATCAAGGTTCGTTGCAGTAACAGAAAGAGAAGAATCCAACGAAATTGGAGATGGTGCTCTTCACTTTTGCATTTGCATGATCGTAGCGTAGCTGTGAGCTGAAGCAAAATCAAAATCACGCACGCTTTCGTTCCTTAATCAATGCTCTTGTAGATTACATTATCTTTATTTATCTATCTAAATCCAAATTCTAATGCAACAAAAAAACGACACTATGCAACCAAGCAAAATTACTATTAGATAGGTTTGACCATTGATTTTATTCAATAACAACTAACTCTTTAGACTACTTTTTAATAAAAATTGATTTAATAATGATACAATTTAAATACCATATAAGTTACCACTTTTAATATTAATTATGATTCTGCTATAATTTATTGATAATTTGTATGACAGCTAATTCCAATATTATTAAAAATGATAACTTGTATTGTTGTAATTATTTTGAATAATACTAAAAGAAATGAATTTGCGATTCATCAAAAAACTTGTATTTGTTGCGCTTTGATGCACAAGAACAACCTAGTTTGGAATTTGGATACACAATGAAAACAAATTTTTGGTGTGTATCTCAACTGGATATAGAATGAAAACTTAATTTTGTTGCTTATCTTATTGAAATACAAGTTTTCATTGTATTGGTTCGATGAGTCACACAAGCCAGGGCCCATAAAATACAAACTTGAAAATTATTGGGATATATGGTTCATTGTTATTATTTTTCTTTGTAATATGAAATAAAATTAAACAAAATAAAATAAAATAGGCCAAATGGACCTGGCCTGATGAGTCGGTAGATCGGGCCTAAGAAAGGATAGCCCATAAGAATTTCAAGCCAGAGTCCTAAACGACCCAACTTCCACCCTTTGTCATGCCAAATCGTATCTTAATTTGCTGTGATGTGACAGCTATTTTTTCTTTATGTTTGTTTTATTTTTAGTGAACCTTGATTCAGCTATATATGTACTCCCTCATCTCATGTACCTATTAACAGAACAGAACAGAATGGCATTTTTCAACAGAACAGAACAATTTCTTCGCATTCCCCTTTTCTTTCTACCTCTCTTACATTATTTATCTTGTCATATACTTTTCACTCTTTTGATATCTTTTTCCCTTGTGATTTTTTTTTTTGTGAAAAATTACTGTATTAATAACTTTTACTTGTGAGAAATTGACTGTACCTAGTGTCTTTAAGAAAATACATAAATAAAATAAGCAATCACATTTAATTTTACCAATAATCTCTGCAAGAGCATACACCCTCTTTAAATCTGTGAAATCGCGCTCTATCCCGCACAATAATCTCCCTATTATAAATCTTTGATATAATTTTTATCACAGCATGACAATCCACGCATATTCTAAGGTTTTTTATGACTTGAATTGGTGTCTCATCACTTGTACTAATTAAACCATAAGCTACGGCCAACTTCTCACTGTGATAATTAAGCACATTTTCCTTGTCCTCTTCCCCTATATCATGCAACACGAGATTAGTCTCTGCTGCATATCCATAGGCTTTAATCCTGAACTTGATCTCATCCAGTTTTGCATAAATCTCTTTGGAACTTGGATGACTCTGGTCACCATTTACAAACTTGTGAATCCTACAATCAATCTCTGTGTAACTAAATCCAGGCACCTTCCTCACATCCTTAATTTTCATGGCCTTCCTCACTCTCCCTACATCATGCCATCTCTGTTGAGCTGCATAAACATTCGACAACAAAACAAAATCCCCACAACTGTTAGACCCCATCTCCACCAGCTTCCTTGACGCCATCTCTGCCATTTCCACATTCCCATGAGTCTTACTGGCCCCAAGCAAACTCTGCCAGAGCACTACATCAGGGAACATAGGCATGGAGTTTATCACCTCACATGCTTCTTTTATCCTCCCTGCTCTACCCAACAAATCAACCACACTTCCATAATGCTTAACATTAAGTTTCACCCCACAGCCCTTCATCATATCAAACAACCTAACCCCTTCTTCCACCAAACCACCATGATTGCAAGCACACAATGCAGCAAGATACGACACCGCGTCCGGATTCACTCCATCAACAACCATCTGATCCAAAAGATCAAGCGCCTTACATCCATCACCGTTCATGGCAAACGCCATGATCATCGTGTTCCACGTGATGAGACTCTTCCTGCAGCTCATGCTAAGGAAGACTGAATAAGCCTTATCAACAAACCCGCATTTTGCATACATATCAATAACTGCATTACAAACAATCACATTGGTGTCTAGCTTCTCATCCACAACATAGGCATGAATAATCTGGCCCTGTTTCAGAGCACCCAATTGAGAACAAGCAGAGAGTGCACCAAGAACAGTGACTTCATTAGGCCTCCACCCCTCTTCCTTCATTCTGTTGAACAAAGCTATAGCCTCGTTGGGTCGGCTTCCTTGTGCCAACCCAGAAATCATGGCATTCCACGAAGCAATGTCTCGTTTAGGCATTCTATCAAACAGCTTCTGTGCAGCGTCAATATCACCGGTTTTAGCGTACACGTCTAACAAAGTGGTGAGTAACAATACGTCAGCTTCGAAACCAAAACGGAGAAGTTGAGAATGGATCTGGGTAGCTTCCGAGAAAGCCAAGGCGCGCGCGCAGCCCTTGAGGGCGAAGGAGCATGTCAAAGCGTCCACCTTTTGAGGGCTACGTGATATGGCGCGGTACCATGAGAGGGCCTGGGCCGGTTCTGGGCCTTGGGCCAGGCCTCGGAGAAGAGCGTTCCAGTCGTTGGTGGAGGGTGTTTGGATTCGCCGGAAAACTTGGGCGGCGAAGGAGAGGTTGCCGGCGGGGGAGATGGCACAGAGCTCGAGGAGCTTGGTGCGGGAAGGGTGGAACTGGAATTTGCCGGTGGTTATGAGATGGGCTTGAAGCTGCTTCATGTGAATCAGAGAGGTGCATTTCTGCAACAATGAATCTAATTGACTCTGAGACTGAGAGGCCATTGTATCATGTACTATCAGCTAAGCAGTAACCACATCTAACTTCAACATCTTCTGGATAATTAAATTACTTTAACAGTTATATTATTGAATATGTGGATAAATTTATTTATTTATTCAATTTGTCTATAACTATTTTTTTAAAATAAAATTAAAAAAACTAATCCATTATTTTTGTCTCCTTTTTCAATCACAATTTTTCTAGTAACAATACTCAAATCTCGTGAATAAATTTATTTGAATAAGAAGTTGAATTTCTTTCATAAAATAAATTAGTTGATATAAAGTTAGATAAGATTACTTCCACGATTAAAAAAAATGCGAATATAAGTTATTAGACATTCGGCCAAAAATCTAATATTATATTAATTTGTGCTAAAATCAGCATAGAGCTTATAAGCGGGAACTCAAATTTGAAGGAGAAAAAAAGAGAGAAAAAATGTGAAGAAGGCAAAGGCAGAATAAAGGATGTTGTTCATTAAACGAGATTCGGATTCTTGGTAACTTTCCCTAAGAAAATAATAGAATCTTTGATTGCCTATTGCCATAACAAATTGCCATAACAATAAAAATGTGGTCAATTTCTTTTTTTGTGTGTGCAGGGTTGTTAAATAAATATTTATAAACAAAATCGAGGTGATAATACACAAATTTAGGAGTAAGGATAAACCTTGTGGGGACAATGTAGAAATATATGACAATTTTGATGAAGTATATGCCTGTAAAAATAAACCTTCAGGGTACCTTGATTATTTTGTCTATTTACCTATATAACAGAGGCTTCTTACACGGTAAATAATATATGTAAACAAATTTATTGAACGATTAAAGTGAAAGCAAGATGTTTTCTCCATATTGCTTAGTGCTCAAAATGACAACAAATTAGAAAAGGGGCAGGGTAATGCAACGAATGATGAGGTTTCTGACAAATATAACAGAAGTAAATAGATGACTAATGGGAAGAGAAACAAGTTGAAGCAACAGATTTAGAGATTAGAGAACTACCAATTTGAATTTGATTCTAATCAATTTTAACTTTAGAATACGAGAGAGGCCTTGGCCCAACAATGTCTAGGAAAGATGTGACTCAATATCTGCTAGCTATGAGAGATGAATATCATGAATCTAGTACCTTCACTGAATCACTGATCACCGTAAACGGTGATAATTGGAGACTCATGGTGCTTGCTCACCTCCGTTATTGCTCAATGTACAATCATGCTGTCACGAGGAATTAAAAATACAACAAACCAACTGCATTTCCAATAACGAATCAACATACATACAAGATTTAACCCAAATCATCCTATGACAAAATCCTGTAACTGAAGAACCATTACGCCTAATCCCGTGACCTCTGGACTCCAACCCAGCGAGCATAATCCACCCACCTGTTCACACAAGGTACATGTAACAAATGATAAGTGAAAAATAAGCAAATGTAGAAATGCATAAAGACATATCGACATAAGCCGAGAATCTTACAATAGTGAGCCCAAGAAAGTGTTTCCAGTTCTAACAGCAAAGCAAATTGCACTTAGTATAAGCTTCTGCTGATGCAGCAAAGGTTCTAGAATCCGTTGTTCAATAATTCCGGCTAGTATTTGGTACCTAATAGGAAACAAAGATTTCCTGTAAGATTCTGCTTATAGAAGTTATTTATTTATTTATTTTTAGAAATACCTTAAGTTGCTAGATACTGCCATGTAAACCCCATAGGCAATACTTGTTGATATTACTGGTACATCCTCAGCCTCAGCGGCAAAAGATTTATCAACAACTTTTCTTGCATTGATCAACGCATTTGTTACACCTGTACCAATCTGAAAAGACAACGTAATAACTCATCCTATACAAGCCCACAATCATTCATCAATAACATGGCGAGAAAGATCCTCAAGAAAGCTACATAAATTATGCCTCACATTTTAGCTCCCAGGATAATTTGCTAATAATATTTTTCTACCTATTGCGAAAGCCGTATTTCTCTTGTGGACACGAAGATTTAGGGGAACAAGTATCACCCGAGTACCTGAGCTCAAAAGAGGGTAATTTATGTTCTCTAATCAATTGATAAAGTATCTATTCTAAAATATTCCTTTTTTATTATCCTTATATTCGACATCTTCTAATAAACTATAGATTGTTTAGTTCATATGGCATCCAGCTGTACAATCTTGATTCCAGCACTTAACAAAAACTAAGATAAGTCAATTTCCAAATAAATGGCAACGTAGCAATGCTTCATCTTCCGAAAACCATTTCCCAATCACGTTCCAAAATAATAAAATATTAATATTTTATAATAAATTTATTATAAAATAATTATTTAATTTAATATTTTATTTGTTTAGAATAATTTTCGAAACACTTTTCGGAGGATCTATCTTTTTCGATGGCAACGTTCCCTATCATCATTAGCCACCAAAACCTTAGTCTAATTATCAAAACAATGAGTATGCCATGATGAATATTCTTTTTATTAATTTAAAAAATAAAAATAAATAAATAAAACATAAAAAATTAAAATTAAAATTAAAATTAGAAGGAAAAAAAAACAACAACAACAAAGAATAATAAGGTACTTAATTTGCCCTACTATATAGTTGTGAACATTCTAAAATCCATGTCAAACATTACCACCTCTTGTTTTGAAGATCATTACCAAGTCTAACAGCCCTAAGGTTTTTAAGTGAAATCACCAAAAAATAGAAGAAGCGGAAACATGTAACTCTAAGCATGTAAGATGTTAAATTACCAGTGATGCACCAGTCCCAACTGCAAATAGCTTTGCACCATTACGCTGCATAATAGATGATGTTAAAAACCCTCATATGTGGCATAATAACTGCTTAAATTTCTTAGGATCCAACACATACCACTATAGCACCTATTCTCTGGATGAGTGTATATGAGGTTCCAGCCAAAGCCACCTGTTGAGTGTTGCCAAAATTAAATCCAATCACCCGATGATTCGATGAATATAGTATTAAAAAAATGATTATTTATCAAGGCCAAAAACAATAAACTACACAAAAGCAGATGAAGAATGGTTTGAAAATTAACCTGAAAAGCATTTTCAGGGCAGCCATAGAAGAATTTAGCAATAGTTCCAGCACTAACAGCAAGTGGTGGTCGGAGAGAAACTGTGGGAGCAGGAAGCCACACAAGCATAAAATCTGCTACAATGGCCATTATCTGTTTATATTAAAATAAAATATTAGATATAATGCCCTATTTGCTATGTAAGAAACAGGATAAACTGAGATTTTCAGGGACTAATCATGTGTGATTATTACAGAAGGGAAATGTAATGTACTAAACAACAGCTTCTGGAAATGGAAGGGACAGACAATTGGACACCAAACAATATATAACCAAAATGATATCTTGTTCACACGCGTACCACATCAGCACAAACAAAATCAAGCTCCTTAGAAAATTTTTCTTTACGTTTCTCCAACTCTGCTGCAGTCTGAAAAGCAAACACGATATTCATTACAAACGGGTGATTTGCGTGTTAGAATTGATACCTTACTCAAATAGTCAAATACACAAGAATGCTGAAAATAACAAAGAAATCAGCAGAAGCTTCTTACTTGTTAAGATACAAACAAGTCTCACATCGATAAAATAAGACAAAAAATAACAATTTATATAACACAAAAATACTTCAATGATATAGACGCCTTTTAGTTAATAACATTATAAAAATAATTATCATAAAATATTCCTTCAAACAAATACCATAAAATAACCCCAACACTACTCTTTGACAATAATTAGTTGACTGCAAAAATTCTATTGATTTGCAAGATATCAGGTCCAGAACATAAATACATAATGCATTGCATCCGAGACTTTAGTTGTTAAGTACTACTATTGCCATTTTTAAAACGCCGTCTCTGTTTAATTCAGTGAATTAAAAATATTAGACGAGTTAAAATGATATGTTTGAATATATTTTTTAAAAACAAAAAAACGAAAACAACTATATATGTCTTAGAATATTTCGACCTAGAATGGTGGGGTTAAACTGTTAAAGTAGTACACGATTGATGAGATGAGAGAAAAAGTTATTCTAAAGTATACGGTATTCAATGTTCGTCATCATTATAGTTTTTATGGATAAAAAAACAATTCGACCTAAAAATAAAGAAAAACGTGATTTGAATAACTGAACTCTGCCCCTATGTAAATAGGTCTATAAATCTATTCATTATTCAACTAAATAATGCGTGGTCATCAGATTGAAAACCTGCAGGGAACACACTAAAACAGAGTACATTGCCATTGGCATAAAAGAACAGTGAATCTAAGCGTGTTTGATTTGAGAAACTTATTATAGTAATGATTATAAAAATACCAACATCGTTTCCATTTCATTTTTCATCAAGATAAAAGTGACATCTTTTATAGTTATTAATGAAAAAAGAAAACGAGGCTTGGCCTAGGGGGCACACGGATAATACGATTCGTGAAATGTATAACACGTGTTAGTGTAATATTATTTTTTAATTAAGAAATTAATTAATATAGAGATTAAAAAGAAATGCAGTGGGTCTATATGCAATTTTACCAAAGTTCGGTATAGTTTACTAAACAAATAAATACTATAATTAACCATGTATTTGGCCGTTGTGTTAAAAAGTCCAAGCATGAGTGTATTTTCGGAAAGTGCGAAACTTAGTTACATTTATGATTGGTGTTGTTATCTAATTAAAGTTGGAGTGTTTTACTTATTATACACTTTCATGTAGTGTAGAAATAAAAGTAATTTGAGAGCTGTTTCTAGGTTTTCTCCAGGCGAAGATAAAATAGAAAGTAATTATAGTACATTGAATTTTTTAGATCAGTTTTGTAGTACTCCTCCAGGTTAAATGGTGCTGAAAAGACGCTTTTACCTTTATTAGAAGAAATAAGGAATGGTAGAGTGGGAAAAACAGTAGAGGTTGTTAGGTAGGAGAGAAATTAAGATAAGAGAGAAATGCAATGAACCTTTGTGAAGATGCCAACACCGCACTCAATGGCAACCTTGGTGAGGAACAAGTCATCCGCCAGCAACCTCTCCCTGAACCCTCCGAAGTTAAGCAGCCACCGGAACACCGCCGATTTTTCCAGCTCGAATAGCCTCTGCACAATCGCCGCCGGCACTCGCCCGCTCTGAATTGCCGCCGCCAAATCCGCCTGCAGATTCTCCAGCGGCCTCCCGGCCTGCGCCAGGACGAGCAGCGCCTCCTCTCGGTTGCGATTCCTGTCCTCCGCTTCGTCGTCGCCTCCTCCTCCTCCTCCTCCTCCGGCGCCGCGTCCTCCTCCGGCGCCGTTGCCATGGGCCGATGCGAAAATGGCGGGGGTGGAAAGGGGGGCGGAGGGGGGAAAGCGTGCGGTGCGGCGCGAGGAGAGAGAGGAGGTGGAGAGTGGGAAGGGAGAGCGGGGGGAGAAATGGAGAGAGAAAGAAGGCGCGGAGAAGGAAGCGAGAGCCATTGCAGTGAGTAGTGAGTTGGAGAGAGAGAGAGTGACAGTTAAACTAAAGGTGGATCATAGATGACTTGGACTTCGTTGCCAGACACTCATCATAGATAGATAGTGCTTCTTCCGTTCCACGCTTCCTCTTTTTCTTTTTTAACTTTATTTAATTCTTTATTTCTACTATTTTAATTTTCTAATTTCCATGCATTAATTAACTTCACATTCCTTCTTATTGTTATCAATATTTTTATTGAATATTAGATACTAAATTAATAGATCATCTAAAATTTTACAATTAGAATTGCATGAAAAATAAAAACATATGACCGCGTTTAATAATTTAAGATATATGAAACATTAAAAATAATAAATTACACTTCATGGTTTTAAGGTTTATTTAAATGATTTAAATATGTTTTTAATTCTTATAATAAAAGGTTTGTTTTGATTTTTTTTTTTTGTCTTTTTTCTTATCATGTATTATTAAAAAGATGTTTTTATTTTATTTTAATAATAATTAGTAGAAAATAAGACACTTCATGTGTCCATCAATTCAAAAGAAAACAAGTAGACAATATCATTAAGTGGACCATTATTTACCAAATAATAATAATAAGTGGACCATTAATTTTTTTATAAATATAATCTTTAAGAGGTCAACTGATGAAAAAAAGGTTAGAATGTAATAGTTGATATAAACGTCTCTAAAAGAAATTAGAGATAAAAAAAATAAAATAAAATTCATCCCTCTATTGTTATTAAGATAAAAGAGAAAACTCCACGCTTCCCTGTTTCTCTTTTTAAAAAAAATTGAAAAATAATTGGAGGTTAATTAATAATTGTAAGTAGTATTTAGTGTGAAATTTACAAAAAGGAAGATAAATTTTTATAATTTTACAAAGTAGTTTAAAAGAGTAAATTTGAAAGTAAAATATGTATAAAAAAAACTATTACTTTTATTATTCATATTGATTATATATAAATTACTATTGATAGATTCGTGCATTTTGTTTTGCTTAAGATGTTGCTACACACTAATATGTTTGATTTTGTTTTACCATCCATATGTCTTATTTTATGTTTTACTTCTGTACTCTCAATTTGTTTTATTTACTTTATAATTTAAAGATAAATATTTCATCGCTGGATTCATACAAAACTTAATATTTAAAATTTATTTATAAAAAAAATGGTTCTCACCTATGTATTAATTATAGGGTTTTTTTTTTATTTTTTCTTTGCCGGTGCAAATTTTTAATTTAAAGGAGTTAAACACATATATACATATATATATATATATATATATATATTAATTAAAAAAACTGGTAGGTGTCACAAGTAGAGATTGTAAGTAGGTAGCCAAATATGGTAGATGCAAATTTTAATATCTTTATTTTTTATTTATTTTCATATCTTATATTTATTTTGTCTCAATACTTAACAAATATAAAATTTATGTTTTGCCCATGTTTGTGTTTCCATCGGTTATCAAATATATTTGTATTCGTTCAAGAATTAATTAATTTTCAAAAAATACATAAAAAATAATAATTTTAACATAAAGTATAAATTACAAAAAACATATTAATTATGTTTTATTTGGTATAAATTTACAATAAAATAAAAATTTCATAAATCTCAAATAAAATATTAAAAAAATCTATAAATTTAAAACGAGTATGAATGTGAGTATTGAACAGAGAAATATATACTCATATTTAGTCTTGTACTTAATTTAATAAATTATATATTACTAATACTCATAACGGATTAAATCGAAGATTCTCCATTATAATCAAAAACGAATTCAAACATTAACTACAAATAATAATTATGATAGACCTCTTAGTTGTACCGGTGCATTTGTAATGTTTAATATTTAATTTTTACAAAATTATCTTAAATATTTGTTTAATTAGTCCATAATATTGAGTTGTTTTTGTTCTAATTTTTTTCTGTTCTCATCAATTTCGGCCCTGTATTTTATTTATAATTTATTTTGGTTTCTAAATTCTTTCCATTGGATTTGAGTATTTAGCGGACAGAACTTGACAACGAAGATATAATAAAACAAAAAATTAAAAATAAATGTACGAACATAAGAGGAAATAAGTAAAAGAATTAAATATAAAAAAACTCCTATATTTTTAAAGACTTCTGTAAGTACGATAAAAAGAAAAATTGTTTAGCGTTTTTAGTTTCGAGGCTCGTACCAACAATATTTGAAACTTAATTTTGTAAGAATGCAATAAAGGTATATTTCTTGTATTATTTTTGTTGCACGTACGATATATATGTGTGTGTTATAGTTTAGAAAAAAGTAACCTAATATCTTTCCTTCATAATTTAAGGAATGACACATGATAAGGGATATATATGATATAATGAAATATAATAAAAAAAAATATGAGATAAGATAAAATTATAATTTTATAATATGAGAATATATATAAAACACATAAACAAAAATAAAGATGTGGATAAAGATATTAAAACTCACACGTACTTAATTTTGTCGACATCCTTAAAATACATAATATGATAAAATATAATTAAATATACACAAGACATGCTAAAATTATAATTCCATGAGCATGTATATTTCTCTAAACCTATAATTTTTTAGCATAAGAAAATGTATAATAATTTATTTTTATTATTGCAAATAGTACTTACATAAAAAAAAAGGAATATTTACAATAAATAGTTCAAAAGTCTCTTAAACAGTGTTCAATCCATAAATTTTATGTTGTTGGAACAGAATGAAAAAATATAAAATAATATATATATATATATAATATTTTAGTTATATATTACAAAATCAACAAATAATAATTGTTACTTGTGTAATTGTGATAGACATACATAGTAATGCTAGAATGAATTTAAGTGAAACGAGCGGTGAGTAATTATCATTTAGGATAAATAAGTTCATTTACATATAATATAAGTAACGTAGTGCTTGTTTCAGGTGATTTACTGTTTACGAGTAACGAAAGGCGAGAAAAGTTGGCGTTTGTTTCCACCGATTTGTGATGATAGAAAGGCGAAGAAAAGCGAGGAGAAGCACTGTTGCTCTCCTCGCATGAGAGGGAAGAAAAGAGGTGAAAGACACGTAAGATTTGTGAAAATCCGAAAATGTCCCTCCCATGCATGTGCCATGCAGCAGAGGATTCACGTTCAACGAAGGAGCATAATCGATTGGCCACATAATCGATTATGCAAGGTATTTTCGCTGCTAGTGGAAATCGGAACGGCCCCGGAACGGCCCGTTCAAAAAATGCATGTTATGAGAAAAATAAGAAAGCAGAACGGGCCGTTCCAATTTTGGAACGGGCCGTTCCACTTTTGGAACGGACCGTTCCACTTTTGACCTTTGCGTAGTACTTTATAACCCCAGAACGGCCGTTCCACTTTCGGAACGGGCCGTTCTGGGCACATTAATTTGTTTTTAATACGTGTATATATATATATATATATAATATTAATATTTAATTTATAATACCTTAAATTAAATATAATTATTTAATATTAATATTTAAATTATATTCAATTTAAGGTATTATATATTAAATATTAACATCAAAAAGTGAAAATATAAAAAAATAAAGTAAAACATGTTTATAAAATTATAATAATAACACTTTCATAAAAATTAATAAAATAATGTTACAAAATATAATTATCATAATATATTTTGTTATTATTATTTATTATTATAAATATTATTGTTTTTATTTTTATTAATATTAATATTATTATTTATTATAATTAGTATCATTATTATTTATTATGATTCTTATTATTTTTCTAATATTTATTATTATTCTTATCATTATTTATTATTTTTTTAGTAAATAAACCCTATTAATATAATTTTATTGTAATTATTATTAATTACAATAAATAATATTATACTCATTTTTAATCCAAGGGTAAAAGTGTAAATTATATATTCATCTCTTAAATTTTTATTTTTTATCTATCATTAAATTTAAAGCAAATATTTAAATTAATTTATTTTTAAATTAATTTTTTATAATTTTTTTAGTTAAAATTTATATATTTATCTTTTAATTATAATAATTATAAAAAAAAATTTAACCTAAGGGCAAAATAGTAATCTTTCACAACTATTAATTAAAAAATCTATTTTTATCTATCACATGATTCACATCAATCAATTCATTCACAAACTTTCACAAACTTTCTCTACACTTTCCACTCACTTTTCCTTAATCCAATCAACCTCACTTTCCACTCACTTTTTCTTCAAATCCCTTATTTTCCATCCTCAAATCCAATCAAAGCCTAATAGTGTGTTTGGATGGGGAATTTAAATGGAGTAATTCATTTATTTGAAGAATTTCAAATTCTTTGAGGTGAAATACCTTGTTTGGATGGAGAATTTATAAGGAATTTGAAATTCAAGCATTTGCGAAATTCCTTTAAATAGTAGAATTTCAAATTCTCCCAAAAAAGTAAGAATTTGAAATTCCTCATATTTTTTTTCTTATTTCACTTATATATTTTATCTTATCTCTTATTTCTTCAAGTTTTTAATTATTGAATATTCAAAAATATTTTTAAAATTATTAAATATTATCTAATATTAATTTTAAAAATTATTATAAATATTTAAAAATTAGCTAATATTTTTTTTATAAAATTTAATTTAAAAATATCAACATATAAATATATTTTTAAAATCAATTTTATCATGGTGGAATCAAGTTATCATATCCAACCCAACAATTTAAAATTTGAGAAATTTGAATTGACTTATCCAAACAAAATATTTTAAGAATGATTGAAATTGAAATCAAAGTAATTTAAATACCAAGAATTTAAAATTCCTTGAATTTGTAAAATTCCTCATCCAAACACACCATAAGAGACACATATCTATAAATTTTGGACTGTAGACCCCAAAAATAAAGTTAGACCTCAAATATACCACCAAATCTATAATTAATAATTATTACTTATGTGATTGTTACATACATGCACAATTGTGATTCGAGCTTAATAATTTCATCCTTGTTTTTCTTTATGCTTTGATTAATAGGTTCATCTGTATATGGCCGTAAACATATTCTTCTTCTTCTTCTTTTTTTTTTTAAAAAAAAACCTTAAACATTTGATTTATTCAATGAAACTTACAAGTCTTTTATTTTGTTATCGTTTATATATATATATTTTTTGCATTTTAAATATCTCATTTAAATTATTGTCACAATTGCGTGTTTGGTCAAATAACCTAGTGAGTACAAGATAATGACAGTTTACATTTTAAAGGTCATAATTTAAAAGAGAAGTTTAAGATTGATTTTGGTTTTTGTAATTTTATCAAAGTCTTTTCATTTATTTTTTTCTTAGATGTAAATTTTATTAATATTCCGAGGATTAATACTTTAATATATTGATAATTAAATTATAAGAATTGATTTTGAAAAAATAAAATAATTTTCATTAATAATAACTGTACAAATAAAAAATCTAATAAATAAAAACATAGAGACCAAAACCAGCAATCAGATGAGAACTAAATTAATAAATATTATGAGAACTATATATACTCTAAACTAAATTATTAAATAAATATTATAGTCTCAATAGTTAGATTTTAATCGATAATGTTTGTTTGATATATCTAAATTTCCAAATAAGAGGACCACTTCACCCAATCAAACAGACTTTAATTAGTGGCTGATATAACATGCAAGACATTTGAAAGCTGCTTCATCATATATATATATCGTGAAGATAAATTTAAATGAGAGTCTAATCTATGTGAAAGAAAACAAAATCCGACATGTATGGACAATATTCACTACTAAAGTCTCAAGTCTCAAATGAAGAAGCAAGAGATGAAAAGTGCAATGCAAGTTCCTCGTTGCCATTGAAGAGAATCAGATGGCTGATCAGTGAAGGTGCCTGCGCCTCAGAATTTAATGCATTAAATGCAATTAATAATTTACACAAAAATTACGTATTTAATATTCTTTTTTAATAATTTTATTTTTACTGGAATTTATTTTATACAAGCGTGTGATCAAAAAGTACCCCTAATCATTCTTTTGAGAGTAAAAGATATTCAAAGTAATTAAATTATTTTCTCTTAATTAAGTTTTCTTTATACACAAAAGTAGAGTTTCACTCAAATCTACCATCACTCTAACAACCAACCATATTAATACTATTTTCATTTCAAAATATGTTACAATATTTTTTTTAACAACTTTCATCATTAAAATTTATAATATTAATAGATTTAATTATATTACCAGATTGAATTTTGGTATACAATAATATTACAAGTGGTTTCAAGATACAAAAATAATTATTTTGGTGAAGAGAGTGTTTGAAGGCAGTCCGAAAAGAAGCGATGGGTGAAAAAAAGAAGGAGAAGGTTTGATGAATATTGTGGTTTTTGAGCAGAGAGGATCCACGCGTCATTCAATAGACATCTTATCCCCGTTTTTATATATCTGGATAGCTATGCTGTTGCTAACCTAAGCATTGCTTCCAGAAACTAAACCCAACAACGATGGCTTCATGCACCGCACCTCCCTCTCTCATGCTCACACACGCTGACCTCTCTCCTTCTCTTCGCTCCTTCTCTCACAGGCCCATTTCCAGAACCTTCTCCCTCTACCCTCTCGTCTTCAAGCCCACTCTATGGGCCCATCTCAGAGAGCCCAGACCCAGGTCTTCTCCCGCCCTCGTCGCCGCTTTGGCTGCCGAGCTCCAAGTCCCCGAAACCCTCGACCAAACCGAGGATGGGCTTGCTGAGCCCGACGCAACCGCCACCGTCACCACCGTCAAGCCCAAGAAAGGCAAGGCTGCATTGCCTCTCAAGAGGGATAGGGTATGTCAATTTTCTTTTCTTTCCTTTCCCTCATTTTTTTTTCTATATATTTAATTATGGGTATTTTTTTTTATAACCATTTTATTGCTATCCCGATGATTAAATCTCTGCAACCTCACGTTTTTTCAAGACTCGACTTTGTTAAGTGAACAAAAAGTCTGGTATCAACGACTTGTTGGCTGGATGTGGGGTTTTGGTTTCAAGGATTATTACCCCTTTTCTATGTGTTTATACATTCGGATTCATTTTTTTTTTCTTTCTATTTGAAATTGCTTCTAGGTAGTACAAGTGTGTTATGCTTCTTTGGCTTATGTTTCGCATCCTTTTAAGTAGGTAATGACTAAAATTGGTGTGGTGCTTAAAAGGTGTATCTGAATTCCTGTGCTCATTTGGTTAGCTAATGATGTTGATAGCTTGTACAAGCTGATCACACTTCCGTCTGTTCAAATTAAATGATTATTCGAAATAAACTTGCTTTTCATGCAAGTGAGATGACAATTGACATCCCCTGAAAACTGGTTGATATGAAAATAAAACACTTTTTATGATTTGCGTTGCGAGCTTCAGAGGATACAAATCCTTAATCCTTCGATAAAGTTGCATGCTTGTTTATTTTTTATTTGAGTTAAGTTTATATTCCAGCTGTATCTTCATGCAATGATTTTATTTAGAGTTTGTTTAAATACAAGTTTAGAAGCGTTTTTTTGAGAACTTCCCTATTGAAAAAAACTTTTTATTTTCAGTAGAGAAGCTCTAAAAAATGCTTATAATTTGTATCCAAACACTCTTAATGTTATTTACATTAAAATATCATCTGGAATTTCAAGGGTGTGTAGTTTGAGTTCAAGGTTGCAGGCGCTTGTGAGCAGACCATTTTTTATTGTTTGTGATGATGTTTGTCTCACCATTCTATACAAGCTTTTTGCTTGGTTGTTCATTTGATTCTAGCATTTGATTTACCTCCTTGACATTTATACGCTTCATCAGTGTATTCCTGCCGTGTTCATGCAAATTCTAGATTATAGCTATTTGTTTGCTTCTTTCGTAATGGATGTGATTGTTTAGGTGATTGAATTTCTCATTTTTTATTATGTTTTTATCCTTTATTTCATGGCTAATTGTTCTTTCATTATCTCACCAGACGAGGTCTAAGAGGTTCTTGGAAATTCAAAAATTGAGAGAGCGTAAAAAGGAGTATGACTTGAAGACAGCAATATCTTTGGTTAAAGAAACAGCTAAAACCAAGTTTGTAGAAACAGTAGAAGCCCATTTCCGCCTCAACATTGATCCTAAATATAATGATCAACAACTAAGAGCAACAGTGAGTCTCTTGCTCCATGCTTGATTTTGGTATATGCAATTACATTGAAAATTTGAGCTATAAATTTGGAGGCACATGAGTTAATTCCGAGCCTTTTGTCCACCCTTTCTTGACAGGTAAATCTGCCTAAGGGAACTGGAAAGCCCGTTAAAGTGGCTGTTCTTACTCAAGGTGCTTATGCTTTTCAATTGTCATTCCCACTTTTAGTTAATTAAAGGTTTCCAGTTCATGCTGGAAATATTTTCTTATAAAGAGGGTACATATGAAAGGACTGTATCCATTATGTAAACATCCTGTATGGATGGGCTTAAGATGAGAGCCTTTCTCTCCTGAATGTGGACATTGTATCATCCAGGTAAGGTATTTACATACAGGAATTTCTGTGCCACTGCACAGATAGAGGGTCATATCATTATGGATTTTGAATTTTTAAATGATTGATATCTGGTAATTTATTCAAAACTCTGGCTCAAGAAACTAAGTCCATCTACTTTTGGTAGAGTGTGATGGATCATGGACCTGCTTCATGTGTGGAAAAGCTATAAGTTGCTATGGTTGTGTATTAATATGTCTTTTACTCTCTTGTACAAATGAAAAGATTATGAGGGCAATGTATTATCCCATTGCAATATGATATTGCTAGTTAATTGTTTGTAATTTTAGTTTTACACATTACTTTAATTGTCCCACCCATTTGATGGATAATGTTTGACAGTCAACTTTAATCAAGTTGCAAGATTATTGTACCATGAATAGTAATGGTTGAGATTAACAATTAAAGGAAAAACACATTATTATCCGCTCATGGTTGCATATTTATGGAATCAGTTTTAGTGATTTTTATTCTGCTGGTGGTGATTTGGTACTGAGCAGGTATATGTCATGACAACTTAGTTGCTTTGCACCTAAGTATTGTCTTGAGGTGTTTAGGTTTGCTGTAAAAACATTAAAAAAAATCTGTGTATTTAACAGGTTGTAATTTCTTTGGTTTGTAACTAGAATCATTGAACTTTAGTTTAATCTGCTTAGACTGCTAGATGAATTTTAGGTAGGGCCCTTGACTTTTAAGTAGTTTCTAGCTCTTTGTTTCAAATATCAAATGTTTCAGTGAGGTCAAATCATTATGGGATGGTGAGGTTTATGTTGTTCTCTTTACCAAGAAAATCTGTTATGGGATTGGATTGATATTTATGCCTTGTCTATGGTGCTTTGCAATCACTGTTTCAAGGGATTTTCAGCTGTCTGATATAGAGGGACTGGACTGCTTGCTGCTGCATTCTTTATTTTGTTCTATTTCCTTTATGTTTGTATATATCCCTTTGGAGGATATTTATGTTCCCTGTAGTTGTGCTTTCGCTCTTTCTATCTTATGAAATATACTTTCAAGGGCTGTTTGAAATCCTAGAATAAGTATATGATAAGATAATCAAAGTTCTGAATGGACAAGTATGTCTTATCTAATTTGAACATTAATATTCCTTGTGCAAAGACATGGATAATAACTCTTAAAGTTTTACAAAGAAAAAAGTGTGGACTGGATGACACATTCCCGTCATATATAGGCTACCATTTACAACGTGTGCATATCCTGGGAAATCAAATGTAATCTTTTTCTTGTTTTAACTAGTCTAATCCAAAGTTCATTTTGATAGGTGAAAAATTCGACGAAGCAAAAAATGCAGGAGCTGATTTGGTGGGTGGAGAGGACCTGATAGAACAAATAAAAGGAGGATTCATGGAGTTTGATAAACTAATTGCTTCTCCAGATATGATGCCTAAGGTGTTGCTCTGGTTATCTTTGTTTAATCTGTGATTAGATTTCCTCTAATTTCTAGCTTTTTTTTTTCTAAAGTATAATTTGAGTAATCTCAATAAGTGATTTGCAAAATTGATAACTGGCTGGATTATTTGCGAGTTGAGTTCTCCTTATGTAGAGTAAAAATCACCTTTTAAGTGTTTGGTAAATTAAATTCTAACTAGTCTAGGGATCTCTGAATAATTCTAATACTCTGCTTCAAAGCTACTATTGTTAGACCTTCAGATATACTGTCCTGATAAATTGTCTGTAAATATGATGAGTCTAATAATTCAATAAATATATATATTTTTTCAAAATTGCTATTATGATGCATCCCTTAGTTATCATTGTTGATTCTGTCAGGTTGCTAGCCTAGGAAAGATTCTGGGGCCAAGAGGACTGATGCCAAATCCTAAAGCTGGCACTGTAACACCTAATATTCCTCAGGTGTATTATCCTCTTTTATTTTATTTTTCTTCGATGCATGCATGTTATATATATTGAACCTTCTTGCAAAATGTATAAAATTTACTTGCTTACATTGTTCTAAGATGACGAAATTTCTTTTTGAATTTTCCTTTTTTCTGTAATAAATGGGAAGAAATTTCGAGAGCATTGGTGACAAAATCCAAGATTGTTGCTTCACAAAAGTAAACACTAGATTAATCAGAAACCCTATAAATTCACTTTTACAGGCTATAGCAGAATTCAAGCAGGGAAAAGTTGAATACAGGGCGGACAAAACCGGAATTGTGCACTTACCTTTTGGAAAAGCTGACTTTTCAGAAGACGATCTTCTTATAAACTTGCTTGCTGCAGTAGTATGTTCTTCCCTAAGCGCCTTTTCTAACTCAATTTCACTCTCATGATAAACTTTTTAACTCATTGTCCTAATTTCACAGAAATCAGTGGAGGCAAACAAACCTTCTGGTGCTAAAGGTGTGTACTGGAAAAGTGCCCACATATGCTCAGCCATGGGGCCATCAATCAGGTTAAATATCAGGGAGATGCTTGATTATAGACTTCCATCAATATAGAACCTTCACATGTAAATGCACGTTTGGATTCAGTCAGCTATCTGGGTTTAATTGTGAGATCTTGCCAAATATTTATTCAAAGATGTTACCAAAGTTTCATACAGGGGATGAACAAGGGATAGGATACTTTGGTGGTTTTATCTCTGTTCCAAATGTTTGCGCACTACATTGCATATTCTTTGACCCCCCGGCTGAGGATTTTCCTTGTACTACTTTGTAACTAACACCAGACATCTAATTATATTTTCTTTCGTGGGAATAAATTTTCATATTTACGTTTGATTATTAGGTATTCCACTCTTCAACCGCCTGTGTTAGTTGTACTCATTACAATTGGCGTGGCCCATTAAACCATTTACAATATCAGCTTCAGGTTTTCTAGAAGCTGTATTCTAATTTCTATCTGACATTTTAATAAAAAAAAAATGACACCCCACATAGTATCTTTAATTATAACAGCATAAACAGTGTTTATTTTTTATTTTTTATTTTTTATTATATTGTACTATTCAATTTTCTTTACAAATGTTTTGTTTTTAAACGAAAAAGGTAGTTTATAAATTATTTTGGTCAAAAACAATAATAATGAAAATTAGTAACTCTAGCACAGAGTTGCAGAGACACTCCAAATAACATGCCTCCCATTTGTTTTTATTTTTAATGGTGAAGCTTTCTTGCATGAGTAATGATTGCAATGGTGCAGTGAATCTCGCTCTGATGAGACTCACCTCACGGAATCATTGACTAACACATCAATTCTTACGTGAAAAAATTCCTAGTAGTACATCTTTTTACATGTTTTAAAATCCGTAATCTATTATACATGTGCAATAAATTTTACTTTTAAATTTTCAATTAGGAATTAGAACTACATTTATTTATTTTGGAAGACTAAATCTATAAAATTTTATGATTTAAGCATTTAATAACAAAATATAATAATGTTAGCATCCTTGTATTAGATAGTGGTTACCTAAAAGACAAGAATGTGTGGTTTGGGGAAAATGGTTTGTTAAGAGTCGTAAAGAAGTGGCAGTGACTGATGAAGGTACGTGGGTGATGGTGGTGATTCAGGCCAGGGCGTGAGTGGTTTTTTTCAATGCTTTTTGTGGCGTGCATTTGCAGCCAAAATATTTCAATCATAAAAGTGGACCCAGCTCCTTTGTTTGGTGTTAGTAAAATAGCCCAACAATTTACGTCTTATTTTTTCTTCTCATCTCATTCACATTTTGACACTAATCTTCTAAGTTATGCTGATCAAATCAATGTTTCTTTAGACAAAATGAGTGGATACACAGGTTTAAATTATTATTTCAATAATATCTACAACAAAAGATCCTGCCCAAACAACATAAATGATTAGTAAACATATTCAGAACTAAAGATTTTGTAGAGATTTGTATTATTCATCGGTTTACATTCGACAACAAATCCTGCCCAAACAACAATAAATATTAGTGAATCTATTGAAAACTATAGATTTTGTGGAGAATTGTATTCTTTATTGGTTTACATTCCACGACAATTTCTCTATTGTTTGGTAAGGGTTCTATTTGTGTGTACTATTTCTCTTTCTTTCTTTCAACCGATTGATTAATTGATTAAAAAATTTCGATTTTTTTGGTCGAGTCTGTTATTCCGTTTGGCTCGAAATTAATTGGATCGAGTTCATGTCCAGATAAGAAAATAAGTTACGAAGATTTTCAATTCAGGTTTAGAACCACGTTTTGGTTGGCTTGTCATGACCTATTGTCGCATGTTTTGATTTTATTTTTCAACAGGGATGAAGTTATATGACTTACCAAATTAAAGTAATATAATTTTATATAATATATAATATAATATTTTCGTACTATGATCAATTTTAAAATAAATCTGTAATTTTTGTCATTTACTTTCGATTTTTTTACTTTGATAAACTCAAATATTTGGAAAATTATGTCATTATACAAGTATTTTGATTCGGGCAAAATTTCATGAATAAATTAAAAAAACATTTCATGAAAAGTACTTTAAATTATGAATGAGATATGTAAATCAATATATAAAATATTATAAGATCTAAAAATATATACATGATTTATTCAATATATATATATATTGAAGAGAAAAAAACAAAAAATAAAATCATTTTCTAAAGAAAAATATATATATTAAGTCATGTATGTCTGGTCGGAAGAAGAGAATAGAATTTTTTTAAATCCCTTTGATTCATAAAATTGGATGATAAAATATAGGAAAACAAGGAAGCGAAATTTCTACTATTTGTTGCTCTCCTCCACTATTAGAAGGTTTTTAGGAGAAAAAGTATTTTATAAAATTTAAATTATACCCATTAAGTTACTCTATATATTTTTTTTATATATTGATAAAATGATGATAACAAAGTTAAAACTTAATATCAAACTCCACTAACTACTATACTAATTAGTGAATTTCTTACATTACATTACATCTAATTTCTTGTTTTTTAAAATATAATAATATATTCTTCATATTTTATTTTTTTCGTTAAAATATAGAGTCAATTCTATAGTTTAATTAATGTCTCGTCAAGTCATATGTTAAATGCTTAAAAATAAAAATTGCCATTCATGATAATTTTACCTAACTTAACAAACTTATCTTTTGTGAAATATATGTTAGTGCGGTCTCTTAAAAACACAAGCTAAGTGTGAATTTTTTTTCTGAAATAATATTTTTTTTTTAAAATTACCAAAAAAATATTTATTACACAATATTTACCCAAATAGACCTCTTTATTGTTCACACGGGAAACCGAATTCTGAGCGGTATAATTTTTTTTTCATTTTGAGCTCAGAAATGTGTTAATTTTGCAACTGGAACAGGCCAAGGAGAACGACCCGTTCTGCTTGGAACGGTCTGTTCTGATCCATTTGTCATGTGTATATTTTTTTATCTGGAACGACTCGTTCTGATTGCAAAACGGCCCGTTCTGAATCCAGTTTTCCTCTTCCTTAGAAACTAAAATGCAAAAAAATAAAAATAAATAACACTGCTCAGAATGCGATTCTCCGGGAACCGAATTCTGAATGTGAACAGTAAAGAAGTCTATTTAGGTAAATAATATATAATAGATGTTTTTTTGGTAATTTTTTTTTATAAAATATTATTTGAGAAAAAAATTCGTCACAGTGTTTGATAGAAATAAGAAGGAGGTGAGTCGAGTATTTTTATTTTTATTTGATTTGATTAAGAAATTTATAAGAGAGGATACAATAAAATGATATTATATATATATATATATATATATATATATATTATTTTTTCCACTCTCCAATGTTAGGACATTTAGAAGAATATTAACAGTTCTTAAATTATATCTTAAAAATTTTCTTAAAATTTTATTTTTATCATACATCTCATGCATTAATATTTATAAAAACATAATAGTATATTCTCTATATTTTTCTTCCCCTTCCAAACTACGCTAAGGAAAGGTACCTTTCAGTTTTCAGTTTTCACCTTCCCTTCTCTGCCATCTTTTCCATTTCCCACCTTTTCGAACAAAGATTACTATCAAAACTCAAAAGAATATACTCTAATTTAATCATAGGATTGTATTGACAATAAATTTTTACAGATACTTATTCGTACGAATTTAATATTTCATTAAAAAAATATCAAGGAATAAATAAGTAATAAGAATAAATTAGTTTCTTCCTAAATTCCATTTATTTATCTATTGTGTAAAACTTTCAACAAATCACAAGCGAAAGTCCATAAAATATTAATTTCAGACTAATTTATAAACATAGATTAGTTATAGATAATTTTGAATGAAAGATGTATTTAATTAAGTAAGATAAAAACAAATTGAGAAGAGATGTTAAGGAAAAGTAAAAGCTGAATCATTGGGAGCAAGAAGGGAAGAACAGTGAGCACTATAGTAGAAGCGTTGTTGTGTAGTGAAAACGGTGCGTTTAAACTTTATAGGAATAGGAGTAGGTAATGCGGGTGCCAGCTGTTACCATATCACTCTTCTTCTCTCTCGCACTCGCTTGTTTCATCCTCTTCTTCTTCCTCTTCTTCTTCTTCATTGCTCCTTCTCTTCGATTAGGGTTTCTTTTTTCGACCCGATCCATATTTCACTTCACGCTGTTACACGGTAAGATTTTTTTTATTTTTTATTTTTACGCTCTTTATCTTATCCCCAAATCAACCATACATTCTCTCACTCTCTCTCTCCGTTTCTTGCTTTCAGCACTTGTTAACTCGAGTAGTTAATTTTTTTTGTTATACTCGACATTACTATTTTCGGCTTGTCAAATTTGGATTCGGTGATCGTGCCACTTAGTCTTCGGTTTTTAGTGCAAAGAGGAAAATCGGTGTTTATTTCACTGTTCATTTGGACTCATGTAACCTGTGTAGTGCTTCTATAGAACTAGGTCATTGCTTTAATTGTCTCTTTCGTGTTTTATATTTAACTGAAATTTTTCATCCTAGTGAAGTGACTCAACGGTCTAATCTAATCTGAGGTGCTACGCTCAATTTGTTTATTTATTTTTGCTTTAAATCTCGTTGACAAGGTAGGAGAGGTGAAGCTGAAAGCATTTCCATGGACTTATATGGTTACGTTTTATTTGATATTTTTGATCTTTAATTTTCTTGTTATAGAAAACCGTGGAAACAAAATCCTAGGGTTTAAAAACCTCAGTTCTGCATTCCACATGCTGTGCAATGCTTGTAATAGAGTGCACGAGTTGGTGTATTTTTACATTCAGGATGTATTTTTACATCCATACTCGGTTGTGAACATTGTCCTCTCCCAAACTTCCATCATGAATTAATGCCTGAGAGGAATTCCTTCTAAATACATCTCAAATTTTTTCAGGCTTGCAAATCTTGTATTATAATATTGTTGATTTTGTCCTAGCAGTTGCATGTTTATATTGGCTTCAGGAATTAGGTGGTAGTTTGGTAACAGTGCTCGATTCTGATTATCTTCCTTGTACAGGCTAAACTGTTCTCGTACTTTAATCACAGATCTTAAGCTTGGAGGTATTACGACTTTGCTACTTTGCTATGTGGTACCACTTGGCTTATCACCGGCACCCACTTGGTTCTCCTGTGTAAAACTCAATGGTACCAGAGGGCTAGTGAGTTATGGGCTGCTCTCAGGATGCTAATTATTTTAGGGGTAAGCCGTAAGCACTAGTAGATTTGATGGATGCTTCTTTGTCAATGAATCATTAACTATGAGTTTAGGGTTTCATAAGCTCCTGATTGTGTGCAAAAACTCTTGTATGGATTATTGTTGTGGTTGTCATCATACTGTAACATATATCAACTAATTCATGATTATTTTTTAAGTATCTGTTGGATCAAAGCATATTGTCCATGGTTAGCTTGCTTTATTGTTGAACATTGTTCAATGAATTATACTTCTGCTAAGTCAAGTGCTGATTCAATTGTTGCAGGTTCTTTGTACTGTCAGCTAATTATATTTTTCATCTGGCTTCTTACTTTCCAAGATGTGACAGCACAAGAATTACATGCTGATGTTAGAAAAGTTTCTTCTCTGGTAGAGTTAGCTAAGGAACCTGCTTCTGGGGAATCTGGACTCTTTGATCCCATAGAAATATCTCCTGCTGTCTTACCAAAATTCCCATATCCCACTGAATCTTTGCCACCAATGTACCCTACATTCCCAGCCAGATATGAACCAGTTTTAACTGGAAAATGCCCTGTAAACTTTTCTCATCCAGATATATCAAACATCCTTGATAAAACAGCATCTGATTGCACTGGGCCTTTGGCAGCGCTTGTGGGGAATGTAATATGTTGTCCCCAGTTTAGTAGCTTAATCCACATCTTCCAGGGTTTCTTCAGCATGAAATCTGATAAATTGGTTTTGCCTAATGCAGTTGCTGATCATTGTTACTCTGATATAATTAGTATTCTTGCCAGTAGAGGGGCAAATAGTACGATCCCCACACTTTGCTCCATAAAATCATCTAATTTTACAGGTGGGTCATGTCCTGTGAAGGATGATTCTACTTTTGAAAAAACAGTTAACACAAGTAAGTTACTTGAGGCTTGCAGCACCGTTGATCCACTTAAAGAGTGTTGCAGACCTGTTTGCCAGCCTGCAATAATGGATGCAGCACTACAGATTTCTGGAAGACAAATGATGATTAACAATAATGAAAATATGGCCGGAGAAGTGAATCACACTGATTATCTTAATGATTGTAAAGGTGTGGTTTATTCATATATTTCAAAAAAGCTATCATCTGAGGCTGCAAATACTGCATTTCGAATACTGTCTGCCTGTAAAGTCAACAAAGGTACATTGTTTAACGATTTTATTCTTAGTGTAATATGTTGTGTTTTGGGAGATTGTCAGTGGCATGGTCAATCATCTCATTTATGAATAGATTGGGAATGGAATGTGAGGGGACATATTTAAGTGACTTTATATTACTGTTCTTGCTGTACCTCATTCTTCACATTATTTAATTGTTTCTGTGGTATTGGTTTAGATTCTTGTGTCCTGTTACTTGGGTGCTTCCATTTTTATCCATATTTCCTGTTTGGTAAGGGAGAGATTGGGTTCCACTAGGAATGAGTTGGAACTTGGAATTGTGTTTTTTCATTATACACAAATTAAGATTGCCAGAATGTTGTATAGGAATACATGTACTTTAAACTTTTGTTTTTTAAATTGAATTTTGGTACCTGATATAAATTTAACTGTTCCTAAAAGCATGCAAGTCAAATTATGGGATTGATGGTTCTACCTGGAATAAAAGTTGTATTTATGAAGGACATATAACTAGACTTGTTTTCCACCAATTGAATCATAATTGTTTTTCTCTTTGTTGTTTCAAGTTTCAACACTTGTAATAGATTAAATATTGCTTGTGCAGTTTGTCCTTTGACTTTTAACGAGCCTACAGAAGTAATTAATGCATGTCAGAATGTAGCTGCCCCTAGCCCTTCCTGTTGTAGTTCATTAAACACATATATTGCTGGGATACAAAAGCAAATGTTGATTACAAATAAACAAGCTATAATATGTGCAACACTTTTTGGATCTATGTTGCGTGGAGGTGGGGTGATGACAAATATTTATCAGCTTTGTGATGTCGATTTGAAAGATTTCAGCATACAAGGTAATTATCCTGCTCAATTTATTCCTTTTTTCTGCCCATGATCACTTTTTGAATTTGTCTGATCTATTCTTCTGTTGTGGCTCTGCATGGTGCTGGTACGTACAGCTTATGGACAACAAGGTTTGCTCTTTTTTCTATTCCTTGCATTTGTTGAGAGCTGTTGTTTTTTAATTCAATAATCTGTTTAAACATTGTTCAGACTACACATGGTATTGGCAGCAAGGACATGGGAATTTGTGATATAATACTTGATAGTTGAATCCAATCATCCTATTTGGGAATTATTTCCCATTCTTTAGAATGGTGACAAATTAGGTTGATAGTTAAACTTTCCATGTGGGATTATGAGGGATTTATACTGGGTTGAGTTGAATACAATCTTGGATTACACCTTAATAAATAATAATTCTATCGAGTAGAGGAAAAACTTCTTTTAAAGCATAGTAAATACATGCTTGCTTTTTTTCTAGGAATAATTGTATTGTTGGTACATGGTAAGATTGTTGTTGGTTAATATGCAGGATGTTTACTCAGAAGCTTGCCTGGAGATGTGATATTTGACAATTCCTCGGGCTTTAGCTTCACCTGTGATTTGAGCGACAACATTCCTGCGCCTTGGCCTACATCTGCATCCCCAATTACGTCGATGTCACTCTGTGGGCCTGGTATATGCATGGACAATTTTACTTTCTGTTAATCATTTCCTTACTTTTTTTAATCCAGGATGTTGATATTATGATTCATGATTTTTGACATTACAAAAACTTTTTGCATTTGCTTAACTCGTCACTATTTTTTTTTGCAGAGATGTCATTGCCTGCTCTCCCAACTTCACAGACATTTAAAAATAATAGTGAGTCCCATTTTTAAGTTTTTATATATCCTGGCTGTCAGTTGACGAATTTAATACACATCTTTAAATGTTTCAAGCTTTCTAGCAGTGTGCATACCCAATTTGCACGTCTAGGATGCCGGAATTAGAACTTTGTCGAGTTGTCTTAAATTCTCTGCTTTGAAGATAGGACTGCAGTGCTATATTTTCATCGTGCTCAATTGTTGCTGAGCATTATTTTAACATTGTGAATATGGTGGATTTTGCAGGTTGTAATTGTGGTGGAGTGGGATTGCTTGTGCTTATTTTTTCATTTTTCATCTTCGGTACACTGTTTTATTGAAGAGATTTTAGGGTTTAGATGTGTGTCGGAAAGGCATTTTCAAAGTGTCTTTGGTGTGGCTTTTGCTTGTATATTTTTGAATGGCCTCATTGTATAGAAATCCCCCCTTTTCCTCCTATTTCACGTGTCTTCTGCTTGTATGTTCTGAGCTGATCATTCCGGAGTTAGTGCTCATTTGATTTAGGATCCATAATTGTGCTGTGAAGGGTTTGATTATTTTGTGTTGAAATGCAGACAAGCAGATGCTAGATAGATTAGCCGCTAAAGTTTTCCGTGGCACCATCAGGGATTTTGATTAAAACTCATTGGGAAAGGGGGAAATGAAACATGGTGATTGGTGACTCATTCGGAACTTACACACTTGAGTTTGACTATCAAAAAGAGTACCAATTATTATTATACTCGAGTGGAGTCATTAGACGTGAGTAAAGTTTAACTAGAGACTGATTCATTAGGTTAAGAGTATTAAGCCTTGGTCTCAATATAGGAATTTGTGTACTTTGGAGGGTCAAAATCTTTACAGAAAAGTGCCTAAATGAATTGGATGCCGTGGCGTATAAGATAAATTCATATTATGAGTTAAATGCAAAAATCACAATATGCTTACCATTGTTTGCGTGGAGCATCTCAAAATTGCTTAGTTTTTTTTTTGTGCCATACACGTCTTATTTCGTGTCAACAAGTAATGAGAATCTGAATTTAATAATAATGTGGCGTCATTTTTGATAAAAAAAAAGGCATTTATGAAGATATTCATCGTGAAACTTGATAAATTACATCTGATATAAAACCTGTTTATGCATGTATTTAAGGAAATATATTTTTATTAAAATTTTTATATTTTTTATGCTAATTTATTATTTTTTTTAAGAGAATGATAAATATAATAATTCATCTGACTATAAGTCTGGTGGATTAATGCCAGAAAATATGTGGAGAAGCACCTATTGAGCAAGAGGCTGTATGACTTTCTAGAAACACAACCTCTTCCTAACATGGCAAAATCATTAGTCAATATCTGTAATAAGGATGTTTTTTTCTCAATTTCAATTAAAAATAAAGATTTTGGTTTAACGTGTACCATATTTATGAAATGGGAGTTTTGCATGTTTTAGAAACAAAAGGATTTTCAGTGGTTGAATTACAAAGTAAAATAGAAGCAATTTAATCTATTTTAAAATGCTATTAAAGATTGTTATTCTCAATTGGTCAAACACGTAATATGCTCGGCTTAGAATTTATTTAAGAACATAAAGTAAAATTAATAAAGTTTATTGTGTATCATTAAAAAATAAGTTTCATTTTAGGTAGTAATTTAATTGTTTTCAATTATTTTAAAATTAATTATAAATTTATAATGTCCTATGTACATCCCAAGAAGCGTTTGTAGTCCAACGGTTAGGATAATTGCCTTCCAAGCAATAGACCCGGGTTCGACTCCCGGCAAACGCATGTTCCTTTTGTTTCCTTATTCTACCACAAACTTTATTCATAATTTATTTTCCCATATCTATAACAGATAAAAAAAGATATTAACCCTTGATTTTCACTTTTTTTTTGTCATTTTTGTCCCTTATTATATAAGATAATCACCTATTAATTACTTTGTTTCATTAATTACACAAAATAACTTTTATGTAAATTCTTGTTTTCACTACCATCATACTTCATAAACCAACCACAAATCTATTTTCTTTTGTTGTTAATTCCACAAATCAACACTTTCATTTCCCTCTTATTCTAAATTTGTAACTACATTATTCAAAAAGTGAGAAATTGTCCACTATCTTACTATTTGTGTTATCATCCCTTATTGCATTTCTTTCATATTCTTCTTTTATTTTGACCACCCTCTTTCCTTCTCATTTTCATATATTATTTTTTTTTACTACATTTTATGTTTTTGTAACATATTAATCTTTCTCTTTTCCATAGTCATTTCTTATCATTTTTATTTATTTATTTTTTATTTTTATCTTGATGACGGCCAACCTTTGTGACTTCGTCAAATTGATTGGTAAAATCTTCATTTTTAAATATATTTTATTGCTTATGATTTGTTCAACTTTGGGTTGTATTGCAAAATAGGAAAATTTGTGTTTGAGACAACTATCAAGGTCCTTGGAGGATTGCTTTTAGCCCTTCTTTTTGTAGCTAATTATGCTACAATATCCCTTAATAAGTTATTATAAAAGTGAATGGTTAGGATATTTAAATTTCTCTTTCAATGGTTCTTTACATTATATGTTAGTAACAGCACAATAAATAATCCCTTCATTTGAATTGTAAATATAGAGGGTAAAGAAAATCATGGTGCCATGATAGTATCATATCAATGTTGGTAAAAGAGAGAAATGAAAATCATACGAATAACTGATTCAATTGTGACTATTAAATATTATAGAGTTCTATTTTTTAGAATTGTTGTCTATCTTGAAAGTCTTTGCAATAAAAATTGAGTCTTACCAAACTTTCATTAATGATTACTAATTATTAAATTATTTCTCAAAAAAATAGAAGAAGGTAAGAAGCTAAATGGCAAATAAAGTAAATATGTGAACGAGTTAGAATTCTTAATATTTATATAAGATTTTTCTCAACATCTCATATTTATATAAGATTTTTCTCAACATCATAACACAAGTATTTATTTATTTATTATTATTTTATAATGTATAAATAACCAATTTTTAAAACTAAACCTACCAATTAACAATAAACTAAATGCAATAACATTGAGATTTATTAATTACACCAACCACAAGTCAATTCAATAGATAAATTATTTTTATTTAAATAAAATAATACAAAGATAGAAATGTCTCAAATCTATACTACACCGGTACTGATGTGACCAACATAACTTTCACTAAAATATGTGAAGAATTTTTATCTAATAAATGTTGAGAAGTTAATTTTAGTATTGGTTAAAAAAGAATATAATTTTAATTATACTTGCATAGATTCTATTGGGGTATGTTTTAAAAATACTTGTTAAAGAATTGAAAATAAAAAATATGATATTAAAATTTTCAAATATTTTTACTTTAACTTTTTTGACAAGAATTTTAATAAGTCGTTGATATTTGTCCATTTCATCACTATAATGGAAAAAATGATATTACCTCGTTGGTAATGAATTACTTTAACTTGTTTATAACCCCCGAATATTCTCACTTCATTTTTTATAGGACGAATTAGGCTCTTCTGAAATAATTTTTTTATTAAAATAGTAAAAACCATATTGTTTCTTAATTTGATTTAAAATATGATCACTTTATTTATAAAAAAAAATCGCAATCAATCCAATATCAAACACACCAAGATTCCAGCTTAAATCCACAGCTGCCACAGCAATATATTGTTAAAGAAGTCTTGTTTCATATTCTATTCTCATATAATTCAATTTTAATGAAGCAATCTTAATATTTGCCTTGGTCTAGTTTATTAGTTGTCTCCGAGGATTGAAATCAATTCAATCCAATTTCTCATTATCTGAAAACGCGAAAATGGCGAAAGCTTTGAGGGTTGGCAGTGTCATCTCACTTTGTTCCCTACGGAACACGACACCCCATTTTCCCCTTCTCTCCCACGCCACGCGCTTTCGTTCCAAGTTTCCATTTTTCAGCCTCTCATCGTCACCAAACCCATCTGGGTCTCCTTCATTTTGCACTCTCTCGTCTTCTTCTTCTTCTTCTTCTGTTTCCACAGATGAGGCAGTCACTAGCAATAATGGTGAAGCTGAGAACAATGTTAAGGACGCGGCTGGGTTGCTTGACATAAGGGTTGGACGCATTCTAAGGGCGTGGAAACACGATGAAGCTGATTCTCTTTATGTGGAAGAGGTCGATATTGGTGAACCTGAACCCAGAATCATATGCAGTGGCCTTGTCAAATACATCCCTCTTGAACACCTTCAGGTTTCCTTATTTTTAACCAATTTCAATGTCGGATTTTATTTGATTTGATCCTCGAGTTTGAGTCCTTTTCTGCTGACTTCGTTGCAAGTTTTTCAATTTGGATTCCGCGTGTACTAAATTTGTGTCATTGACTATTTTGTTCAGTAGTTGAAATGATTTACATTTATATATTCATCTTGGAACATGGCCTTCATAAAGAGTAGTTAGTTCTATACTGCAGGGATATCTCATAAAAAGTTCAGTGTAACTGCAATAAAGTAGGCTGGTTAGGAGATTGATTATGATACCTGGGTCTGTTTTTAGTACGAGCCACATTAGACATTTCCCTGAACTGAGTTTGGGAGTTGATGTGTTTGTGCTGGTTCAAGAAAGAAAAATATGGGGTATTATAAAAGTTTATGTAGCCTCAACTACTAAAAGCCTATAATTGAAACCTAAATAATGAAGTATAATCCGTTAAACAACTACTAGAAGCCTATAATTTAAACCTAAATAACAGTATAATCCATGAACAATTATCCAGGTCCAAGTAGAGGGAAACACAGTGCAAAGTATCACCATTCACCAAACTAAATTCTCATGGAATTTAATACTTAAGCATATGCACACAGATTCGATATGTTGCCATTCGGAATATTAGCTGAAGGTTTTATCCTATCTTGCCATTAGCTTTCCCACATGTGTGAGGGGCAAGGAAGTGTAAACACTAAACACTTGTTGCCCTCGGACATGTATCATTTTCAAATACCCCTCACACATCATGTTACACCCCTAATCTGCATCCTTCAATTCTTTTATTTGGAAAAAAAATAAAATTAGTATGGTTGGAACATTAATGTTTTGGTTTTAATTTAAGATTTGTGTTTTTTATGTTAATTTTATATTGGTTCCAGATGTTGTATAGTTATGTATCGTATAATTTGAAATTTACCATATTCTCACATCTGTTTTGTATCATTTTCATGTGTCATGTTGTATCCGTGTCCATGGTTCCTAATTCCAGGGCTTCTATAGGAATAGAAGCACATTATTTGAATGATTGTATCAAATTTTGAACTGCTACACATCACAGAAGAATTAATTGATGTTATTCTTTCTTGATAGTGTCTGTGATTTCCACTTTTGAACAAACTTCTATTCATTTGGATAAAATGTAACATCAAATCTTGGACTGCTCTTTCATTCTTCTAAGCTTCTATTTCTAAGTTTTTTTAAAAACTGACAATCAAAATATAAATAAGCAGAAGTGTACTCTCTTTACCTGTTTTCTTCTAAATTTATGTTGTGATAGACTCTTTAATGCATGCTTATGTATTTGGTCAGGTTCTGCATGATTTTGTGACCATAGAAGAATGAACTTTGTACTTTAATGTTGTTAAGAATAAACTCAGAAAAAAAAACTGTTATATAGACTCATTTGTGCATTTGAACATATGAAACACAGACGCTGGTACAGATACCAGACATGATAGACACAAACACTTTGACACGGCTAAAGTCTTGATATAGTAGGACAACTGGACACCTCACGCACACATGCAAAAAAGGTATATTCACCATTTCAAAAAAGTTTTGGAATTTTTTTACGATAATGAGCTTCACAAAAGAAAAATATTGAGAAATCTTTTAAAATATTTTATATTATATCTTAAACATACTTTTCTGAATATTTAAAAAGAACAATTTTATAACTTCTTATAATACCAGTGTCCTTGAAATACAATTCATATGGAAGTGTTGACTCAAGTATCAATCAACAAAATATAATTTTCTAATGTAATGAGGAGTGTCTGGCATGTGTTGGGGAGGAAACATGTCTGACACCTCAAGCAAGGAGTTATAAAACTTCAAAGGTTTGAATTCTTTGAGCAAAAGAAAATTATAAGATGCATGTCTTGTTCCAGATGAATATGTCAGCTAGAATTTATCAAGGTCTGGCTGGGAATGTAACAATTATTTTCTATTGATTGTTGTGCGTCATTTTCAATTATAAAAATTTGAATCCTGTAAACAAAACACTTTGTTGTGTAAATAATGTATATAATGACGGATTAGTTGGACAAACTTATGACTGCTGGAATAGTGGCTTTTGTGTGTGTGTGCATGCATAGCAATTGGTAACAGAGCAGAAATGGATTTGAGGCCGTGATAGTGTGGATCCAAGATCTTAGGTTAGTGGGGACAATTTTTTTCAAGAATAAAAATTAATAATCATCATTATCATATATACAAAGAGCAAAACATAAAAGTCGGAAACAATTGTCAGTGAGTTAAACATATAAAATTAGGGAATATAAAATACAATATTTTTAGACGTATACTAATAATTTAATTAATGTGAGATTGTGAGGGATGCATTTGTCCACCCTGTGAGAGTGCCCGCCTATGGGGGTGCATTTGCCCACAGTCATTATAGTGTAGGTCTGCCATTGGTCATATTGGCATCATATCTGTGTTTTTTGATACAATATAAATAATTTTGTGGCAACATTCAGGGGAAAAAAGTAATTGTCCTTTCCAACCTGAAGCCAAGGAATATGCGTGGTGTCAAGTCCAGTGGAATGCTGATGGCTGCTTCTGATGCAAAGCATGAGAATGTTGAACTTCTGTTCCCTCCCGAGGAAGCAACTACTGGTGAAAGAATATGGTTTGGAACGGAAGATGAGAAGGATAATCAACCTGCTGCTGCCACTCCAAACCAGGCAATAGCTCTTCTTTAATAGCTATTAATAATATGACTGCCTGGTTGAATGCGGAAGTTCTAGAATTTAGATGATTTATTATTTTATATATAAGACTAAATCACATTTTAAACTAGTAAGGTTTAGATGGGATACCATAGAGTTAATGTGTCCAATAGTAATTGTCTCTGGCGCAAGGTATTTTTTTATTACAACTAGAGATTAAAAAAACCATAGGTCGATCGGGTGACATTTTTTCTTGGGAGCCCCAAAAATACTTGTTGCTTGCATATTTCTTTGTACTACAGTAGACTCTAGAAACCAAATCTTCTAGACTAGATAGATAATGATTCACCTTGGATGGCTGTTGTATATAAATAACTCTTACTACACTGTACTGTATAAATGGATGTCAATATCATTTTGGTTATATATATTTTTAGATAAACAAACTTGTGT